TCATCCTCTTCTCGAGCTCAGCATCGGTAGCAACTATTCTGCGAGCCACATCATTGGCTGCCTCATCAATATCAAAATTGTCGAAGTGAGTGGCTTCATGTGATGTGTAGCCAAAATAATAGAAGTAGGAGGCATTGGACCCGAACCCACGAAGGCAACCTTCGTGGGTTGTTCCACGCCATGATCTTTGAGGACTCTGTTTACTAAATTGGCTAGCTTAATGTAATTTCCATAATAGGGGAAGAGAATAAGATTGTTTAGGGGTTGGGGGATTTTATTTAAAAATGTTGCGAAGTCTAGCTCCAATAAAATTTCAGCACGGCCACATAGAACTATGAGACTTTCTCCCATGCTTTGAACTTCTTTGGGTAAGGCCTTAACGTCTATGGATAAAGGGAGGGTACATAATTTCACAAGATGGGTGAAGAGATCATTGACTAATCTTGAAGTCCTCAAAGAGTCCATTTTGGATATGCTAGCATGGATTCGCGTAATGCGGGCTATGATGATCTCTGCCAAAATCTGGCTTTCAGATTTAGAGTTTTGGGGGGAAGTCATTAGTCTTATGGGATTGGTTATTGAGCTATCAATAAGTTGTGTATTTGTCTTGCGGAAAGGCCTGGCCACAGGACTATTTATAGAGGCAAAAGCTTGTCTTTTCGTCATCTCTTAAGTCTCAAATACGTGCAAATGACACAGCTATATTTATTGATCGAGGATGTGTTTCATGCCATTCTATCTTTAACATTGTGCAATGAAAAAATTAAATTTGAAAAGAAAAAAAAAAAAATTAAAGAAAGAAGATGAAAATCATTAAGAATTAAAGATAAGATATGTGTTTGTAGCATACATATCCCACATCGGAAGGGAAATGGGGGCGACTTGGGTTTATAGGGAGGAGTCCCTCCACCTAATAGGTTAGCTTTTTGGGTGTGAAACTCTCTGTCTATGACAATGGTATCAGAACTGACCTTGTTCTGTCTTTTAGTATCCCGCCAAGCGCCCATGCAGAGGAGCATTAACATATGATTGTGGGTCTACTCAAAGATGAGGTGGACGGGTAGGCAAAGGGCCCTACATGTGATTGGGTTGGGGAGAATGTCACATATCCTACATAGGGGGGTTTTGGGTTTATAATGGGAAGTCCATCCACCTAATAGGTTAGCCTTAATGGTGTGAAACTCCATACCCGTAACAATATGTAAACCTAAGATTTTGACACAAGTAAATGTTAAAATTTTCAAAATCTAAACTCTTACTCCCTCTATTTTTTAATAAATGACGTTTTGAGGGTTTAAATTTTTTTCAAATTAAGTGTCGTTGTCTTGTCTATGACATCTCCTCTCTCTCTCTCTCTTTCAAATGCCATTTAACACAACTTTCCCATCATTGTTTTTTCTTCATTGCATTTCTTATCGCACTTTCAGGGGAGGAGGAATAAGAGATGCAGTAGGAGAGAGAAAAAATTTTTACATTAAAAAATTAGTTTATTAAAAATTGTGCAATTGCTTAAAACGATTTTTATTTCGAAGCGGAGGGAGTATTAAATAGTGTAATTAAACAATAAAAGGTAAAATTTTACCATTCCTTCCAAATACATAAAGGTTTGAGGTTTTTTTTTTTTTTTTAAGTATAATATATCTATCTGCGCTGATAAACCATCATTTAATGAGATTCATAAAAGAGATAAACCAGTAGAAATTAATACTCTCCGCTAATGTCATGTATTCAATGAATCAGTTGACGATTCGTTTAACTTTTAACATATTTTAATCGCAAATAAAAAGGCTATATAGTTGCTTAAAATCCAAATTTAAGTCGTTGGTGTATTAGATTCTTGTAACCCCACTGTATCTCAAGTTCTTTTCGTGGTTTATTTAAAATTATTAAAACAAACTGAGTACCAAACCCAGATGGTTATTGGCATTAACATTTGTTTAAGACAAATTTAAAAAGCTAACACATTAGGTAATGGTTTCTTGTATATTTTTCACACTCATGTATCTGTCTGTATGTAATCTGTATAATTATTGTTAATTATTAATTAAGTTAGCAGATCCCAGACACAGTTTTTGTTCACATTAAGTTAGCAGATCTTAAGGCATGGAGAATGCCTCCCCTTTTCTCCATGGTTTCACGGTATTTCTTTGAAAAGAGCTTTATTATATCAATTATATATAATTTGCAAAAGAGTAAATAAAAATAAATTCTGGAGCAGCTGTTTTAGTTCTTGATATAATAATTAATGAGTTCTCTTTAAAGTTCGTTATGTCCATTTTAATGTGAGAGCATTTGATCTTTAAGATCTCTTCCACAACTCCAAGATATCCAATCAGCCAAATTATTTAGTTCCCATCTCTGATCATGATCTTCTTTAAATTAGCCTTTAAGGTGTTAAATTAAAAACACAAATTAAGATAGTTTATTTTAACAATAATGTTATATGTATAAATAATTCTTATAAAATAATGTGACAGAAAATAAATGAAAGAGTGTTCACTCTTTCATTCATTTTCTGCCGTATCACTTTGTATAAAAATCTTTATAAGATTTATTTGTATGTGTAGTATTACTTTTATTTTAAAATAGAGAGCAAACTAGCTTGGTTTAACTAATAGTCATTGAGTTTTTTCTTTTGTTTTCCAAAGTTATATATTTTATTCAAATGAATTGAATATTAATTGATGTAGCATTTTCAAATAAAGTAGGATAAACGATATGCGATGCCACTATATTTTTGTCTCTCATTGGTGTTTGTGGTCATATGGACGAGGACATTTAAATGTACCACTATATTATTCGTAAATAACAAAAGAATTATATAACTTAATTTGATGACGTTATTTAAAATTAATGAGGGAATATGTGTATATACCTGCCACCCGCTGGTCTTTATAACATGAAGAATTCAACTTCTTATTTCGGAGAAACGTTATTGTCTTTAAGGGCATAAAGACAACTAAAAGATAAATTTTGATAATATTAATACATTAAATCTTTTTTTCTTTTTTTTTTTTAACAAAAGATATTAGTGTTACCAAAATATTTATGTAATTTTGCTTTTGAAGTGGAGTAAACGCATTTTCCACCCAAGGTTTAGCCTAAGGACACTTTTCCATCCACGCACGATTAACTTTAACTGAGGAATAACATAATGCTAAATTCAAAACAAAGCCAAAAGATAATTATGTCATCTTATCCCATACAACAAAGCTACGGACACCCAAAAATTTACACCAAAAATTTGTACCGGCCTACGTGTATCAAGCACCTGATTTTTTTATCAATTTTTTTTCTAGGGAACGGCCGTCCATCAAATTTGGATGGCCGTTCACTCACATGGACTTCTATCCATATTATATGGACGGAGGTCCATATACCAGGGACAGGCATCCCCATTTAAAGGACGCCCGTCCTTGAATAAAATACAATAAAAAATTTTGTTAAACATTAGGGACGGCTGTCCATCCATTATGGACGACCGTCCCTTCATTTTGGACGGCCGTCCAAAAGTAAGGGAGGCCCGTCCTTGACCCAAATATGAAAAAAAAAAAAAAAAACTTTGAGGACGGCCGTCCATAAATTTTGGATGGTCATCCCTTACATTTGGACGGGCATCTATTATGAATGGACGCCCATCCCTTACGTTTGGACGGGCGTCCATACTTAAAAAAAAAAAAAAAAAAAAAAAAAAAAAAAAAATTCTTGCATAAGTATGTCCACGTTTCGACTCCTCTTCTTCAACAACTCTTCTTCTTCTCCCTCATCGTCTCGAAAACGTCCTCGTTTCGACTCCTCCGTCATGTGTCTGCGGAAGAAAAGCCCAAAGTGGAGGCAGAGGTTGATGAGGACGACGTCGATAAAGGAGTTGTAACAGCGTCGAGAACTCAGTTCCGATACTGTCAACAGTCGCGATACTGTCCATAGTATCGGCGCGAGCCAAACCACAGTTGGGTAGAAAAGGAACCGAACTGTCCACACTCCCAATACTGTCCACGGTATCGGCACGAGCCAAACCGCAGTTAGGGAGTTGCAGAAATGGAACTGAAGATGAAAACGATATACAAAATTCCAACTGATTAGACCCATCATCAGGATGATCTCCATTCATGGGTCGCTCAAGAGCTATCTCGATGTACTGGTCATCGTTACAATCCTCCTCGTCAGAGAAGGCAGCGAGCGCGGGGCTAAAATCCTGACCGCCAAAAGAGAAACTGGCTTCCAGTTCCGGATCTCGATTCATGGTACTTTGCTCCATAGTTCAATATTATCTATCACTGCTACAATGAAGAAAATAGAGCGACGAAGCGAATTAATAGGAGGAAGAAGGTAGAGATATTTACATTAAGAGACAAAAAACAGATATTTTGGATAGGATCTTTTTTGAGTTGTTATACGTAAAAGAAATGAAACCAGATCATAAGATGAGATTTGTTGTTGATGAGAGGATATCGACACGTGCATGGCTAAACTTAAAAATTTAACTGTTTGATTCAGAAAACTTCAAACTAGAACTAGTACAAGGACTCGTGTCCATTTATACATGAAGAATCAAGCTCCAATGACTTAAAAAATGGAAGAAAATTTGTTTGCTAATTCAAATATTTAATGTTGAAGATGATGACAGCTTTCCCCATGAATGACATATGGTGCATGTGGGGATCTTGTGGTGAAGGAAAAGATGAAATTTAATTGTTATTAAGCAATCTACCATGGGAGTTAATCCAAAAAAACTTGCAGGTGGCTTCACAGAAGTTGCTGCGGCAGCTTGTAAGTTTGATGAACTAGGCATTGCACCAGATGATAAAGCATTTGCAGTTGTTGATCCTGTCTTTCAATCCAGAGACTGAGCTACCATCTGAACTTGTGCCCTTGTTCAACTAAAAAAATGAAAAGCAGCATTCAGTGTCTACCAAGGAATACATATTACTAAACAAACATAAAATTGACCACATGAGAGAAGAGGAAAGAAACAACTTTCTTAACAATGCAGATTCTTCTTACCAATGGTATCTTCTTAACACTGCAGAAAAGCTGAAGAACTCGTTTTGAAGAGCAAAGCTAGACTCAAGCGGCATTGATTGGAGAGTGTTAACTTGACTTTGCAAGAATCGAACATACTTATAAGCCTCTTCAAGCGTGGTAGCAGTATCCATTTTCTTCTCACATGGCATCAGCTTTTGCAAGCACCGAACATTGTCGCTGTTGTTTTGTCGACGCTGACGAGCCAACTCACGTTGCGGTTGAACAGAAGGCAAGAGTACGTGATTGGGACAGACGGAGGAGTCGAAACGAGGACAATTTCGAGACGATGAGGGAGAAGAAGAAGAGTTGTTGAAGGGTGGATGATGAGGGGGAAGAAGAAGAGTTGTTGAAGAAGAGGAGTCGAAACGTGGACATACTTTGCAAGAATTTTTTTTTTTTTTAAAGTATGGACGGGACGTCCATCTAAACGTAAGGGACGAATGGACGCCTGTCCAAATATAAGGGATGGTCGTCCAAAATTTATGGACGGTCGTCCTCAAAGTTTTTTTTTTTTTTTTTTATTTTCATATTTGGGTCGTCCATAATGGATGGACTGCCGTTCTTAATGTTTAACAAATTTTTTTATTGTATTTTATTCAGGGACGGACGTCCTTTAAATAGGGATGCCCATCCCTGATATATGGACTCCCGTCCATATAATATGAACGGGAGTCCATATGAGTGAACGATCGACCAAATTTGATGGACGGCTGTTCACTAGAAAAATATTGATAAAAAAATCAGGCGCTTGATACACGTAGGCCGGTATAAATTTTCGATAAAAATTTTTCGGTCTACGTAGCTTTGTTGTATCCCATATAGATAAACTTAGGAAAAAAAAAAAAAATCAAACCCTTTTCCCTTTCTTCCCCACCCTTCCACCCCCAATCGCACCAGATGGTCCAGATCCACCCAAATTCTGGTGTGATTGGTCAGATGCGATTCGGCTAGAATCGCACCCAGTTAGGTGCGATTTTGGCCTGAATCGTACCTAGTCGAGTGCGATTCAGTCCGCAACTTCTTCATTGCAGTTGGCACCACCATCGGTGGTTTTCGCTACTTTTCCGGCATACAACTACAGCCATCACCTTCCCATGTCTTTACCTATTTCAACTGTAGTCATCACCACCTACGCTAATCGTATCTTTACCTGTTTCACCTGTAATTGCATTGCACCGCTTGCGACCGCGAAGGCGCATTTGCAATCGCCACTTATGATCGTCACAGTTGAAGTCGTCAATGTTGTTGTCCTCTAGTGGTCGATCGATCGCCTGACTACCATTTTGCAGGCTCATTTTTACGATACTTCGCGATCGTTCGTGCTGTCGTAGCCTGTCTTCGTAACTCCAATTTCGTGGGCTTATCTTCGCGATTGCCTCTAACTTTCATAATAGCTCATGATGGAAAGATGATGTGCAGTGCTGGTCGTGGGATAAGGTTGGGTATAGGCGGCAGGTGGGCTACTGTAGAAGTGGGCTACGATTTTTGGGTGTTAGAAGCGATTTTGGTTTGTGTGGCTGATGTGATGATGGTGTAGGGGTAGGCTCTGGTGTGGGTGCGATGGAGATGGGTTGCGATCGAGGTACAGTGGTGGTGGGATGGTGGTCAATAGGTGCATGGTGAAGGTAGGGTGTGGGTTAGGCGGTGACGACGTTGCGGAAGAGGTAGAGATCGTTGAGATCATCGGCGATTTTGTGTGAGAAGATTCATGGTGGGATGACGATGGAGGCATAGGTGGGATGGGTTGGGATCAGGGTATTGTGGTGGCCGACGGGTGCATGGTGGAGGTCGGGTGTAGTTTAGTTGAGGTAATGGGGTTTGGGTGTAGTCGCTGCAACTGCAATCCATCCTAGATCAGCCCCCAGCCATTTTTTGGTCGCTTTCGACGCCCACCTACTATTTCCAAAGCTCTAGACACCGCCTAAACACTTAATTACCCTACTCCATTTTCACTGATTTCCAACCGATCAACATCGCTCACATAACCCACCTTGCGATCCTACGACTGTCATTGCGTGCGATCGCTGACGCCAACACCACCTTCAGCCTTCCTCTTTACCTTGTCTCTTCACAGCTTCAAATGTCGTCCTACTCAACCCACCTGTAGCAATTGTTGCTGACCACCAGTTTTCTGACCCGCTGGTTGAATCGACGATTCGACACTGTTCTGCCAGTTCAACCGCAAGTCAATCCGGGTTAATGGGTGAAATCGAGTTTACGGTTCCCCAAATCAGAGAGGGGCGGTTGATCGGTTCGACCGGTCTGGTTTGAGTTCTAAAATATTGTATTGAATAAGGAGTAATGCTACATTTACACCACCCATTACATCATTTTCATTACACCATCACCATTTTACTAATAATCATTTTATTATAATATTAAAAATTCAAAATAATTAAAAATTTGTGTGGATGTGGTATATGCCACATCATGGTGTAATGAAAATGATGTAATGGGTGGTGTAAATATAGCATTACTCCTTTAAAAATATGGAGTGCAGCCTAAGTTTGACTGTGTCAAAAATCTGATCTTTCACCTTAGCCAGGTTCCGCCTGATTCCTTTAAAAAGTCTGAAATTCCTCTCCTACCAAACAGTGTAGACTAAAGCTCCCAACAATAATCGCCTAATTATGGCTCTTATCCCTTTGCCCCTGAGCCGGATAGCACACCAATTAACAATCCCACCCATCAGTATTGGCTATGAACTTAACTTTCACTTGAATGTCTTGCTACAAGCGTTTTGAAAAGGGACACCAAAAGAACAAGTTATTATGTGAGTCTTCAGGACCTTCACAGAGAGGACACACCAAACGTCTATCTGCATGCCTCTGAGCCAAAAAAAAAAAAAATTGTAAAATTGAATCAATTAAATATATATTTGACAATTTAGTATAAAGATACATTTGCAGCTATAAAAGAGAGAGAAAATAATGGAGCTTTTTATTTGACATCGGGACAAACTGACCCACTCCTTTTAACGTATTATACTTGACAATTTGTCCAAACTTGCCTGATACACGAATTGGAGACTAACAAATCAAATGCACGATGGATGTATGCAAAATTACAACATTGATAATGTTATTCCACCTTTGTTATAATTTTTCTTAGTATTATGTGCGAAATTACACCAAGCTTATATTATTAATTTTATTAAGACTCTAGCTTTGTTATTTATTCGTATCAAGTTGAGTAGTTAGTTAGTACTAAAACCTGAAATAGCTTACATAAAAATTTTTAAGTTGTTTGGTTGTATCATTAAAGCATTTATAGGAATTTAACAAAGTTATTATACGTCTACTATTCTTTTCTAGTTTATATAAAGTATTAAAATTTCAAAAATATCCTTATATTTTTTCATAAATTTAATTTATCCTTTCTTGTTATATTAAAGTCTTTTTTGGTAATTTAAAACTGCAAAACTCTTTTGCATTTTTTTAAACAAACAATTAACAAAAAATTTATGAAAGTTCTACTCTTATAAGCACTATTCTAATAAGCTCTATTTCCATAAATTCTATTCGAATAAGCATACCAAACGGGCTTGACCCTTAGTCATCAAGAGTTAGATAGGTCTTATATTTTACTTATTTGATTGACATTAGAATTTTAAATTTAAGTGGAATTAAGAAATTAGCTTTATAGAATTATTCTTGATGTGTTTTCATATTTTGAATGAATTATCATGATAATTCATAATAAATATTATCATTTTTTGGTTATACATAAAATATGAATTTTTTTTTTTCTAAATATAGTAAGACACTTAAAGCTTAGCTATCTCTCATGGATTGAATGAAACTAACTTGTATTTTTGTGGCCAAACTTGCTTTGAGTTGGCAATGTTGATTTGAACCAGTTAGGAACCAACCATTAATGATTAATCGTGATTGATTGACTCTCTCTCTCTCTCTCTCTCTTATATTACAAAAAAAATCAGTGGTTGAGATATATTTCTTATATTTATCTTTTTTTTTTTTTTTTAATCAATCAATCATCATAATTTTATAATTTGCAAAATTTTAATAAAAACTTTAAGGCGGGGGTTAAGCTGTCAAATATCGACCGACATAAAAAGATTTATAAAAGATACATGCATTGAAATGGATGAAAGAAGACATATATAAGACACATTTGTGCTTAAAATGGATAAACAAAAATGTGCGATAAAAAAAGAGGAATTTATCTTAAAAGACTTTTAATATTATTAACATATACATGCATGATTTTATAACACACATTAAGAGTCAATTCACACGTAACTTTTTTATTTTTACATTTGTAGATACTTGATTTTGACACCAATGACTCACACGTGTAAAGTGTTAAGTGAATTTAGAAATCACACGTGATAAAGGAACATGAAATGAAACAATGAATGAGAAGTGATATTTAAAGTGGTTCAGATACTCAAAAGCGAATCCTACGTCCACTGCTATTGTATTAATAGATGGGTAAAATCAGGTCGCATGCTGCAAGCTGAGTTATAATCTAGAGAAAACACAAAAAGAGAGAGAAAATGTGTAAGCTATTTTAGACTAAGATTAGCCAATCCCGTAAATGAGAGGGGTGTCCTCTATTTATAGTAGGAGAGTTCAAGGTAATGATTATAAGTCTGTAAGTGGGTAGGTGCCGTGCAAATCCTTCTTTGCGTCCTACTGGTTATCTGCATGAGAAATATCCTCAAATTGCGTAAGGCTTGGGCTGGTGGATAATCTTTGACCACTTGCAAGACTGGCATTCACCTGTTGCACTAACAAGAACTATACCTCTTCCGTCACCGCACAACGTGGCAGCGCCTTGACAGCACAAAACCTTCCCAAATCCTGATTGGCTCTTGCTGATGAGAGTCCATGTCAGGCTTAACTTTACGTGCATAACGACTTTCAAAATACATGTTATGAGATAATTGATACAAAATACACGTTAAGAGGTGAATCATATGTTACTTTTTTATTTAGACATCTGAGATACACGTTAAGATGCGATTCACATGCTACTTTTCAATTGTTAGACGAAAGATAAGAAGTCAAGGGTTAGTAATGAGAGTTGGCACATCTTGAGTTATTATTCGTCTACTATTCTTTTCTAGTTTATATAAAGTATTAAAATTTCAAAAATATCCTTATATTTTTTCATAAAGTTAATTTATCCTTTCTTGTTATATTATTATTATTTTTTTTTTTTTTTGTAATTTAAAACTGCAAAACTCTTTTGCATTTTTTTAAACAAACAATTAACAAAAAATTTATGAAAGTTCTACTCTTATAAGCACTATTCTAATAAGCTCTATTTCCACAAATTCTATTAGAATAAGCATACCAAACGGGCTTGACCCTTAGTCATCAAGAGTTAGATAGGTCTTATATTTTACTTATTTGATTGACATTAGAATTTCAAATTTAAGTGGAATTAAGAAATTAGCTTTATAGAATTATTCTTGATGTGTTTTCATTATTTTGAATGAATTATCATGATAATTCATAATAAATATTATCATTTTTTTGTTATACATAAAATATGAATTTTATTTTTTTACTTATATTAAGACACTTAAAAGCTTAGCTATCTCTCATGGATTGAATGAAATTAACTTGTATTTTTGTGGCCAAACTTGCTTTGAGTTGGCAATGTTGACTTGAACCAATTAGGAACCAACCATTAATGATTAATCATGGTTGATTGATTCTCTCTCTCTCTTTTATATTACAAAAAAAAAAAAAAAATCTGTGGTTGAGATATATTTCTTATATTTATCTTTTTTTTTTTTAATCAATCAATCAATCATCATAATTTTATAATTTACAAAATTTTAATAAAAACTTTAAAGCGAGGGGTTAAGTTGTCGAATATCGGCCGACATAAAAAGATTTATAGAAGATATATGCATTACAATGGATGAAAGAAGACATATATAAGACACATTTTTGCTTAAAATGGATAAACAAAAATGTGTGATAAAAAAAGAGGAAGTTATCTTGAAAGACTTTTAATATTATTAACATATACTTGCATAATTTTATAACACACATTAAGAGCCAATTCACACGTTACTTTTTTATTTTGACATTAAAAATACATGTTATGAGATAATTGATACAAAATACACGTTAAGAGGTGGTTCATATGTTACTTTTTTATTTAGACATCCGAGATACATATTAAGATGTGGTTCATATGCTACCTTTCGATTGTTAGACGAGATAAGAAATCAAGGGTTAGTAATGAGACGTTGGCACATCTTCTCGAAATGTCTTAGAAAATAATTTATAATCGATTGAAAGAAAAAATAAAA